ACTGACAGGCATTAATTTTCAATAAAAAAGAACCAAGATCTTCAACACTCAGTCCAAGATCTTTTTCCACATCGAACTAAAGCAATAAAAGCACACACAATCCACAACTGCAGGAAAACCCTGTAAACCGGGGAACAAAGTAAATGAAAACAGAGGAGAAATCTTATAAATTATATTCTCAGGAGCTGTAAGTTAGACAGATAAAGGAACCTTAGTTACAAACCTCTAAAAATTCTGATGAAGTACTGCAGACCTATAGTCCAAGAAATATGGTATTGCCACTGTTAGGAACATGTCACAGGGTTTGTACTAAATCTGCAAGACCTCATGACTTGGGCTTGTCAGGCTTCTTTTGTCTGGACTTGTCTGTGCTAGCCTAGAGCTTTGTTCTAGCTTAGCTGTAACAGTAATTGTCGAACAATCAGATAAATGTTACTTAATCTGTTTCCATTTTAGCTTAGCTTTCTAAGACTGTGTGGTATAAAACCTATCATTAAAATGCTCATGCATTGCTCTAACTAACAGACAGTAATATCAAATAGCTATTTTGTGCAGAATAAACAATCCATGACCCTAGATTAAAAATGTAGCAAAGAAGATCATGAGCATAGGATGACAGTATTCAAGAAGTATCCAGGAAATGTAAAATACACCATATATAGTAAATTCAGATGTACTATGCAAATGGAAACCAATGAAGAATGAGTTGTAGACTGTGCTAGTAAACATATTAAAAACAGCTGCAAGTGGACCCAGTGGGAGTAGAAAGCCCCCCACCATCCATCATACTTCTCCAGGCATAACACATGTGATGGTGGTAACTTGCTGTAACCCCTTCTCAGATGGAAGCCATTGACCTTAGTATGCAGAGGGGTAGTAAAAGGGTAAGCATAATGCCAGAGAAAAGGGATGGATACTAGGAAGTACTAAGAAGATAACAACTTTAACTGTACTGATGATAATTCTTTAATTTGACAGTTAAGATTTCCATTAGAGTAATAGTAATTTCTTGGCTTTGCAAAATACACAAGGTGTGTTTTGCCCACATAAACCACATACATTGTAGTACAACAAATTGGTGAAGAATGCGGTTTGGACGCAACAGTAATAGCAATGCTTGGACAATCCCAGCAATTAAAACTGTCATTGCCACACCACAATTATCAGGTAAATGGTTACATTTGATTAATACATTACAATTTATGTAAGAAGAAAGTTCACGTCTAGTATAGGGGACTCACTTGTCTTCTTAATATAGGTGCAGCCGTAATATTCTTTATCTATTCTAAACTGCCAGGTAAGCCTGTACATGTCATTGCAACAACAACGCATTTTTGTTTCAGGATAGAGTGACAGGCTTGACAAGCAAAATTGTCATTAGCCAGATACAAATTTAGGTAACATAATTCAAATATTCTCATATTATACAATGTATATGACAAGTTGTAGGTTACACCCCTTGTATTACCATTATGGCTCCCATTATAATAAAACCAAATAACTTTTAAGTGTAGACAAATCATGATATAAAATGTGTGGGAAGAATTGTGTTATAAGAGCACAACAGTTACACTTCAAAAAGACTGTGAAACCTGATAAACTTCTTACCTTTAGAATCAAAAAAATCAAACTCTTTCCTCATATATATTCCCACTGCATCCTTTGTTGCTATCATATATGGACTTAAATCAATGCTAGTCTGCAAGTATTTTATTTTGAAATAAAGAATAATTGTTTCATCAGACATGCTGTAACATTTATTCCAGAGACTTCTGTGAATCTGTCAGGATCCACAAGGCTCATCTTTCACAGATTTCAGTATGAAGAATAGAAGAAGATGAACTGCAATCTGAAAACTTGCCTAAATATTTTAGCACAAGAGAGGCTGTCCTCTGTGTCTTCTGTTACAGCAGAACTCGACACAGTCTATGGCAGCTTTGTTTAGGGATATGGTAAGCTTTTTGTTCACTTCCAGAAATTCTAAAATGTCACTCCTGCATTGCTATAGCTCTGAACAAGCTAATCCAGTGTCAAAACAAGAAGACGAAAAACAAATACCATTTTTTTTTAAATCATAGAACTCAGGTAACAATAAAAACAGCAAATAGGAAAACAATTCTTTAATCTCTGAAGGAAGCTAGCTGTCAGCAACCTAGAGCCCTGTTTTCCTTCACTTATCAAATAAATGGCATTATAACATGTAATACATATATTCAATAACTTTAATTTACAGAAATGACATTTTTCAATTCTTAATCTGGAGTATGAAAGTATACAGGAAAACACGTTTCACAATATATGCTCTTTAAAAATTCTGAGTAGAAACACAGACTGGTCCCATTCTCCATGAATGAAACCATAATCTTTAGGAAGGTTAATGTTCCTAAAAGTATTGAACAACAAATTGGCTGTTCACAATATTGTTGTTCACAACAATATGGGTAAATTCTTCTTCTACAGGAGGGAAAGGTAATCTGGATTAGGCTCACCTGCTAAAGAGAGCTTTCTTATTGTATTAAAGAAGTCTTTCATATCCCATTGACTGATTTTTCAGAAACTGACAAAGAGATTCAGATATAGAAATAGAATAAAATCATGGAAACCTGAAGGTTCATACTAAGCAGTCAGTAACATCTGGTTCTGTTTTTTCCAAGGACTATAAGCAGTCATGTAGTACACATCTCATACACTGCCAAAAATGCATGTACCAACAGCTCACATAAGAACTTACAACTGATAAATGAAAAGAGAAATTTGAATAATAGCCTATTTAAGAATGGCCTCTTTTGGAAGCTAAGAGTGGACCATCTTGGTTGCAATGAAGTCATGCTGCCACTGAGTGCTGCTGTACAGGACATGCTAGAACTCCAGTATGAATTGGAGTCAAAGGCAACCAAGTGGTATTCTACAACTGATACCCCTAATACGTTCTTCTCAATCCCTTTGGCAGCAGAGTACAGGCCACAGTTTGCTTTCACTTGGAAAGGTGTCCAGTAAACCTGGAATCGACTGCTCCAAGGGTGGAAACACAGCCCTAGTATTTGCCATGCTCTGTTTTTTGCTGTACGTTAAAGATGGGTTTTGGCTCTTGCAGTTAGAAAAATCAAGTAATGAGTACTCTGACCAGGAATAAAGGGGCCCTGCCTCCAGCCAGGTGGAGAACAGGGACAAATGGATTTACTGGACTGTGTGGATTAGATGGCTTGGCACATCAGCCCCACAGGAGATAGCTTGTGCCATATCACTTGGGCCCGTCTGAAGAGGATAAGATGTGAAAAAATACGCTTTACAACACAGCCAGGGACTATAGTCCTATGCTGGGTGCCAAAAAGAACTGCCATGGTTTAACTCCAGCCAGCAGCTAAGCCCTCACAGCTGCATGCTCGCTCCCCCACTGGTGGAATGGGGGGGAAGAATCAGAAGGGTGAAAGTGAGAAAACTCACGCATTGAGATAAAGACAGTTTAGTAAGTAAAGTAAAAGCTGGGCACGCAAGCAAAGCAAAATAAGGAATTTTTCACTACCTCCCATCGGCAGGCAGGGTGTTTAGCCATCTTCAGGAAAGTAGCGCTTCATCACACGTAACGGTTACTTAGGAAGACAAATGCCATAACTCCGAATGCCTCCCCTGCTTCCTTCTTCTTCCCCCAGCTTTACATGCTGAGCATGACGTCATACGGTGTGGGATATCCCTTTGGTCTGTTGGGGTCAGCTGTCCCTGCTGTGTCCCCTCCCAATTTCTTGTGCAACCCCAGCCTGCTTGCTGGTGGGGTGGTGTGGGAAGCAGAAAAGGCCTTGACTCTGTGTAAGCACTGCTCAGCAAGAACTAAAACATCCCTGTATTATCAACACTGTTTGCAGCACAAGTCCAAAACATAGCACCAGATGAGGTACTACAAAGAAAATGAACTCTATCCCAGCCAAAACCAGTACAATAGGGAAATCTAATGCATATTTAAGATACATTGTTTAGGATTTACAAGCGAGAAGAAAACAGACAAGACAGTATGTGAAAAACTAATTAAGCCAAAAAAGCTAGTAGAAATGACTAAAGAATGCTGCCAGTGTTAACATCAGAAATTTCTGATCTGAATAATATTGCTCTTTTGAATCACTTTTGGATCACTATCCACAAATAAGTACCTGCAGACAATAAAGAAGCTTTCTAAATCATATTTCTTCTTAAAGCCAGTAACACAGCAAAAATGGCAAAAGGCAGGTAAATGAAAAAAAGAGGTAGAGAAGCTCCTTCCCAAGCAACACGATCCTGCTTTGATGTTTGAACCAGCTTCAAAGCTGGTACTGCTCCAAATCAGGGATTAGACTAGGTAACCTCCAGAGGTCCCATCAAACCTAGATTATTCTTTCTACATTTCTAAGCTTGTGTATTGGAGAAAGGAACTTGATGATGGAAAAGCGTGTTCAGGGAAGCAGGAAATGCACAATAATGTGAAAAAAAGAGGCTAAAGAAGCAGCAAAAGGAGACAACGTTACTCTTCTTCACCTGCCTCTCCTCATTCCCTTGGAAAAAAATACTTATTTTATTAAGCACAGGAATGAAGTTGCATTACTACTTTCTTTAAATAATAACTATAGCTGCTGCACCTTTCTGTGCATTTGCCACTAGGATCACAGCCCGGAAGACAGAAGGCCCTGCCTTCTGTCCTGAGGGCTGAAGTTACAGAGTACATCCTATGGACAGAACTTACCCTTAAACTGAAAGGTACTTTTTCAAACAACACTATGCTGTATATGTAATTTCCTGTAAGTCCAACTAAAACAATCAAAAGAATTCTATTTACACAAAAATTCTGCCCTAATAAAAACAAGCAGTGTAAATTCAGCTTTTCATCCAAAAAACTATTTTGACAATAAAAGAGCTTTGACTGAATCACTTTTCCCTCCAACTTAAAATACACTAGTTGGTAGAATATAACTGAAAATATATATTTAACTTCACGTTTTTATAAACATTCCAATTCCAATCATTTGCCAACTTACATAGCTCCATTAGTGTAGACTGTGTCACTTCCCTCCACATACTGAACCTGGGCTGGGTAGACATGCTGCACCTGTTGCACAGTCTGCACTTGCTGTACCTGAAAACAAGAACATCAGAAATTTGGGATACTATAAAGAAGGACTGATGGCTCAGTGCACCTAATGGCTTCTAAACAAGATGGGGTATCTCTGTCCTCATAATTACTAAGGTATGTCATAGCAACAGCAAAGAAAGTTACTGTTCTTACGCAATACTTGAGCTGTAAGTCTGGTAAATGGAGCCCTAACATTGAAGATGCACGCTCACGGAGCATACATACCTTCAGTGCCAAAACCAGAGTTAACTGGAACACATAATAAGGATGAAATGAAGTGCAACTACGCTTTGCACCACGCAGAAGAATTACATTTACTACAGAAGAAAGTATCATTTGGCCACACGTTTGCTTTTTCTTATTCCATTTCAGTCCTGAGTAGTACAAGCCTTAAAATCACAGCTCAAATGTGTTGCAGTAAGTTTAGAAATAAAGGTTCACATTAAGATGGTTTAACTCTTGTTTAACTGGAGTTAAACTACAGTGATACAAGCTTTTTTCCCAGTAATGCTTTGACCCAATGTAAAATTATGGATCAAAACCCCCAGTCTGAGTAAGCCCTTTCCCAGAATATCATCAGATATAAAAAACTCTGGCAAAACCTGGTTTTACATCAATAAGCTAAACAACAAAAGGCAGTAAGGCATGCATTATCTTCACATATATTGCTGAGATGGCATGGCTGTTTTGTAAAAGCACATATAGTCACAGATCAATTCCTTTGATTCATATACTACGCAGGGAAGCTCTAGGTTATGCATATTTCCTCTCCAGTCTTAATTTTTTGTCTCCTGCCACAGTGAAGGTTAAGAATTCAATGTTTTACAGCTGCCATCATTTAAAGAAGCCATATTTTGGTTCAAGAGAAGTCTGCAATCTACAAGATGCAAAAGAACTTAAGAGACTTCACAGACTGGCACAATTTTACCCAAGGAACTAAATCAAGAAAGTGGCAATGCATATATCTAGTAACTAGATTTAACATAAACTACTTTTAAGTGACTGTTATTTTTCTCAGATATTTTGTTATGAGGTAACTTGAGCCTGATCCAGTTGGTCCTAAGGATTACAAACACTAGAATCACAGATGAATCTGGGTTTCATGCATTTGATGGATCATCTCCAAGAGCTCTTTGAGAATATCCTAGTTTAATACCTTCAACTCTGCTGTATTTTAAAAAGTTCTGCAAATAAGCACATTTTTTCGTAGTCTTTTATAGTATTGACTCAGATTGTGAAAGGAAAATCTAGATTTTTGCAGAAACCTTCCCTTAGGTTGACATTAAAACCTGAATTCTGAAAAAAATAAAACACCCAAGGTTTTGAACGCAGCTATACTAGCATGATAGAAAATCAGATGTTTCTGTCCATTAACAGCAATGAGACACAACATGATGATTAAAATATCTTATAAAATCCAAAGTTTCCTGATTTCCCACATGGATCATTTCATAAATTGACAAATATACCTGAAATACATTTTCTCAACTTCAAAAAATATACTTCAAAGATGTTTCTAATTATTAAGGTAAGGCACAGCTGCGTACCTTTCCTCTCTGAATAATATTTAGTTATTTAACAGAGAGATAAAGTTCTCAAAGTCAACACAAAGAACTCTGGTCCAAATTATGCATGTTCCTAGGCTTTAGAACAATATTTTGAATTAAAAAAACATAAATAGCTGTATTGTGCAAACATCTTTTCAAAGAATTAAACTATTTCTATTTCCATCACCTTTGACTTCATAACTTAAATTAATTCAAACCATAATTTCATGGAATGTGTTTGATCCAAATCCACCACAAGAAAGTTATGCCTGTAAGCTTGCTAGTAATTAGTTCCTCTCAATATTCCAATTTCCCAATCTGTGACAAAATCATCTACTCATGCAATAATCGGCTAAAATTCATACGTGCTTTACTGTGAAACATATATGCAACATATGATAGTTTTTAAGCTTGACTCTGAAAATATTTCTTCCTCTTGGGTGACTCAAGTTCTACGACCTTTCATCAACAGGAGAAGGAGAGTCATTGTTCATCAGTCTATTACAGAGCACTAAACTGATCTACTTAACCTATACAGTGAGAAAACATCTTGAAAGCATGCTTTGTTCTTAAAACCAGTGATTTGTCACCTGCCATGTAATGGATGTGCTCCATTTTCTGTCCCAGTAGTACAGCTGGGGAAACATTGTGGAAATGATGCTGTTGTCAGTATGAATTCCATGTCCTTGTCCAACCCCTCCCAAACTGCATTTCGTTCCCTATTCACACATACTGGATATGGCTTACTCCCTATTAAAAAAACCTCACACTGCTTTCTATTAATAAAGGAAATGTGATTTTCTCTCTGCAACCTGCATACTGATAAAATGGAATTCTACAGTATGTACAAACACAACATTAAAAACTTCCTATCAGTAAATGCAGGTCACGTTCCCATTCTATACAAGGTATTATATTCTCCTATTATTCTTGGATACAAGCTGCTACCATTTCAAAAACAACAGATTCATCACAGTGCAAGACCATTACCACAGAAGTGAGACAGAAGCAGAGACAAAGTGGCATAGAGTGTATCAAATCTCGGTGTCTATTGGAGAGAAAACTGAAACATTCTAAAATGTATTTATTTTCTGATTTGGAGCAACAACAACAAATTAATTTACCATAAAACAAAATACCAAAATGTTAAAATTTTCATTGATTAATTTAAAATTTTCACCAATTTTTATATAAATTCTTTATCACCCTAATATGCAGTACTACTAGAAATGTTATGACTGTTTATGCATATAAAGTGACTTATTTTTTAAATCAACATTTAAGAATGGATACATTACAGTGCTATTAAAACGTCTTGTCTACTTTTGTAGACCAAAATGTTTTTCCTTTAAATTTTAACAATGAAGTTCAATACGAAAGGGCCACTGAATTAGGTTAATTTGATTCCAATACAGTAATAAAAAAAGAAAGCTTATAAAAAAAAGTTATTTTGCTTCAGCTTCTCTGAAACTCAGTACTGCTACGGTTAAATTGATAATGGTGCCCAAGGAAGCTTCGGTCACTACATTGTATTGCAATGTACATAACAACCTTAAGGTAGAGAAAGTTAGAGGTAAATATTTTTTTCTGTCAAGCAATAACAAATAAAATAAATGGCCTTTAGGATGCCCTTGTATACAAAAATTCTGCCATGCTGAAAATCTTTGTTGTATGCTACCTCCAATACTAATTTTATTTCCTATTTTACTTCATTTTGGGAAAAATATTTTCATGAGAATTAAATCTAGTGCCTCTGGATTTTCTTTTTAATCTTCAATGACAGGAAGAAATTAAATGCTTATATATACTCTCTATGAGCACAAAATTATTTGATAAGAAGTTGGTTATGAGGAAACAAAACAACACCAAAAAAATCAACAATTTTTGTGGAAATTGTAAAAAAACCCCCAAAACACCTTTCTTCTGTTTTATTTATCATTTTCCTTGCACCTTTTATTAAGTTGTTAAAGGAATTGTATCAGTTAGGTTCTTTAGTTTTGGGGGCAGAGCAGAAATTGGAGATCACAGAGAGAATCTTCAACAGAGATCTAAAAAGTAAATGGCCTCCTTTTATTAAAAAATACTCCAAGAGTTAAATGATTCAGGCTGAAAATAGAAAACACAATGGAATATTTATTAAAAAGTGACAGTATGCAAGTTCAAAAATTGTATGTTCTGGGGTGGACTGGTGAGCTAGTCATGGTAATTGTTATTGTCTGGCTGGAAAACAGAAAATTAACTGACTTGTATAGGAAATAATGAGTTAAGTAGAGTCAGACAAAAGATCTTTCATTCCTCTTGCTTCAGTGATTCTAGCCTGAAATAAATAACTGGAATAGGATTAGAAGTAAGCAGCTGAAACGTTCCAGGAGACCAAGAGGCAAATGAAAACTTATTTCAATACACATATGTAACTATAATTACTAGTTGAAGGAAAAGGAAAAAAAAAAAAAAAGGAAAATAAATTATATTCTTAATTATACTACCTCAGAGGAACAAATTAGGGACTAAGTTATATTGTATCTATGAGAGTTTGTCAACAAAAATAAAGTGCATAAAAGAGTACTGAAATGCAGAAATTACATTGAAGCATAAAAAGAAAATTTAAGAGAGAATTTTTATTTCCAGTAAAAACTGCTTATGTTCAAAGTACTACTAAGCAAAGCGTAGAACAATAGGGCCAAATATATAAGGATATTTAAACTCCATTTAAAAAAGAACATATAATTATGCACAGTGCCTAGGCAAACAACTTGGATGTGCATCGTTTTCTGTTCTCAGAGATAAAAATAATTTTTGTACCTTCATTAGTCTGGATTACTTTTGGCAAGCAACATATAAATAGCACACGCTGTAATATTCTAAGCACATTCATATTTATATAATGGCTAATGTCAGTTCATGATTATGTTTTTCATATGCTAAACATGATTTTGCATTAAGAGCAATTGTGATTAGCAGAAGTCTGCATCTCCAGTTAATGATACAATGCTTTGTGAATGTGATGGTCATTGTGTATGGTGAATATGAAGAAATGCTTTGCTCAACTTATGATGCATGGACATACTTTTATAAGATAGATTATATGAGTATTTTTAGTTTTATTTCTCCAATCCTTCCACATTGCATGCCATAAACTACAAAGTGAGGTTAATTTTGAATCCTTAGAAGCTAACTGCACTGGGCTAAAGAGTGCCTGTTGAAAAAGCAATGATACATTAGTGAAAAATCCCCATATCTGAGGAAACAAAAGACTAAGAAAATTCCTCAGGCTATTAAAATGGAATTGAATTACACTCCCACCTTTTTGGTGTTACTCTTGTTGCTTTTTGCTTACATGTGGACATGTTTGTCCCCTTAGCAGTCCCCTCTCTCCCATCTCAACAGTGACAGCTGCTGTGCTGCATGAAAGCAGTTGCCACCAGTGCCACTTTTACCAGAGGGGAAGCCCAGGTTTTCATTAATGGTACCTTTTTTTCCCCTATTATTGGAGCATCACAGGAGACTTTTATGAGCTTCATGTTTATACTAGCTATATACAAATTAGGGATTTGTTTTAGCTGAAAATATCAAAAGTTACTCTTTCACTGTTTGCTCAAAAGACAGGATGCTTCAGAACAAACACAGCTGTAGGTAAAAGGCTCTTAGTCCACCCTTCCACTTAGTCAGCTTGCTCTTCTTCAGGGCAAAAATGTTTCATTTTGAAAAAGATATCATACATTTTGTGAGCATAAATAAAACACTGATGCCATGAAAACAACCCCAAATTAATGCATGCATGAGACATCATTTAAGTATGGCGTATATACAGGAATGGAAACATGGGAAACAAAGACCTCTAGGAAAAATGAAATACTATACACCACTTGAATATTAATTAAAACCAAATTAATCTAAAGTGGCATTATTTACTACAAAGTACTAATAAATTACTGTAAACATGATAATACAGAAGATTCAGCTTACACCAAATTGTTGCATATACACAGACACTTATGTTACAGTGTCTTTGAATTTAACAAAGTTCAGGAAGTGCTATATTGCTTTAGCAAATTATATTCACAAGAGAATATAATCCAACTGTGAATATTCACACATATATTGGATACGGCTGACATTATTAAGTATGTCTCTTATAAACTACAGAAAAAAAACCCAAAACTGTATCTTATATACTATGCACCTAAAACCTTCCCTCCAACTTTCAACATTGGCAACTTTGAACACACAGAAATAATAAGCCTTCCCTCTGCCATCAAAAGAATGGCTTTATGAAATTAGCACTCTTTCTCCAGATTTTCTTTAGGCAAATTGGCCCATTCCTATCAGATGTATATAAAGCTGATAATAACTTTAGGCAAATGTGGCCTATACACAGATAGCTCCTCAGGGCAGATCACACCTACAATTTCCTCAACACAGCGACTGTTTCAATGTTTGATATTCCTTTTTTTTTTTTTTTTTTTTAAACACTACAGCTGAAATTACCTATCCCACCTACATTCTTCACCACGTTTCCTGCCAGCATACCACATACACATTCTCACTCTTCCTTTTCTCCTCACCACACATCCACTTCCGTAATCTATCCTCTCTCTGTACATAAATCTCCCACACATACCATGTTTTAATCACTGCAATACTGTCTGCATTGGATTTCCCAACATTCTTGTTGCATCTTCAATCCCTGCAAAATTTTGAAGAAACTCCTCTTCTTTGGCTGGGTTGATCCCTTAGCTTTCCTTTCTGAAACATTATGCTGATTCCAGTGGTCAGTGCTAAAAGTCAACTGGAAAAATATAATCTAATATCCCCACAGGGAAAACTAATCCAAAATAATGATGGATTATTCAATGAAAGGGAATACTCAGAAGCAGCAGTACTAAAGGGGATGTATGTAAGGTTGGTCAGGGACAGTTTTACATACTCAGTGTAACAAAAAAATTCAGTTTCCTCTTCTCATTAAGGTATAATCAAGCAAGAAAAAAAACCAAAACAATCTCCTCCTGGGCTTCTGTGTTTTGACGTATTACGTTAATAAAGGACAATTAGAATAACTTCAGAAAAGATACAGACAGTTGGTGACAAAAATTAATGCATTATTTATGTGGGAAAACAAGGAGCCAATTCTATCCTAGAAATCCTCAGAAAGGTAGAAACTTTGCACAATCACAGTTTATAAACAGCAAAGGCCTGCTCATTCTTCATTTCCTTGTGACAAAAATAGAACAGAAATGCATAGAAGATCCTATCCTTACAGTTCAATCAATCCAATGATTAGAACAACAATACTATAAGGTATTCTATATGCCACTAACTGGTTACCAATCTTCAATCCCTCACACTCATCAGTACTTCACATGGATAAAATTCAGTATGTAATATTAGACCATCATATGTATATCCTATTTGCTTAAAACAAGCAACTGTGTAGCACTGTTAAATTGCCATCTTTTATCGGAAAAGCTGAAATACAGGAATAACAAAGGACAAATCACATAAACTACATCTATTAAACATCTGTCATCATGAAAGAACATAAAAATCAGACAGATTATCCGACTGTATTTCATAAAGAAAAAAAGTCTCACACTTCACAAACCTTGCAAAAGAGTTAACCAGACAAAATCTCCTACAAAGGTTAGCTACATTCGAGCATCATGGAAGCTTCAATTAAAGCCTAACATAGTACTCAAAAGTCTCTATCCTAATGAACATTCAAGTAAAGAGAGAGAGAGCTATTTAACAGTCTGAACTCAGGAGAAAATATTTCAAACAATTCTTGATTCACTAGTCATGGATTCTGAGCAAATACACAAAGACAAGCATTTAAATAAAATTTTATAAGTCCAAATTCGATGCTTTTCTGAATCAGTTTTTTTAAGAACAAGCTTGCATCCTAAAAGATACATGAAGATATAAGCAGAAATTATAGTAATGGAACTATAAGGCATTATAAATAGAGTTTGTACATCAGGAAAAAAAAGTTAGTGAAACGTATGAGACTCTGGCACACATACATAAAAATGCACCACCTGGAATTTTAGAACTAAACTTAAGAAATGCTGAAGAATTTGATTTAGGGAAAAGTGCTCTACTGGCACAGAAACTATTTACACTATTAATAAAATATGTCCAGTTTTCATATTATTGATATGATCTGAAACTATGAAGTGAGTTTTTGATGAAATACCATATCAGATGTCACCCAGAGTACCCGTCACATGGACAGCTCATTCTGTGTATTCTGGAAAAGTCTTGGACAGCTGTCATGGCTTTCACATTCAGTCCCTATTTTCTACCTCCATACTCTTCCCTTTTTCCTCCCCATTTTCTTCAGGCACCACTCCTTCCAAAGCCTGTGGGTGAGCGCATAGGTGAGTGACTGTCTCATGTAACAGAGGCGTGCACTCTGCTGGCTGCTACAAAAGTCTTCTTACTTCCCTGGCAAATGCACATCCCAAATTACCTATTGTCATACCACAAATACTTTCATGACATTGTGCAAAGATCTGCAGGGAGTCAAGCCTAGAGATGCAAAGGACAGTGCTTTTCATTTTCACATTTGCATTGCACTTACTTGGTCAGCCAAATGAAAGGAGAAGTGATATAGCCAATAATATCAGAAACATATTCATTATTCATTATTTAAAGGAAAAAATGTAAACATTCAGTAACATAAAGTAAATTTCTACAAGCTATTACAGGAATTCCATAATAACCTACAGTTAGAATCATGTATGTGTACTACTGGTACTTGTCAGATGCTTCAGTTAAGGAACAGATCCTGAAAACTGCTTGCCTTTCTCTGGCTATTTTAATTCCAGCAAAATAAAATTGATAAAAGCAGAGTAAAAGAATTAATTTAGCAGCCTTGTACAAAATCATGTTATTCACTACATTGTAAAGAACTATCCTTCCTGATTTTTTTTTTTTTAAATCTTCCCAAAACTAACAGCCACCTACCTGTTGCTGAACTGGTACTTGCTGTACTACCTGTGTGGGCACTGCTGCCTGGCCAGCCACAGATGTCTGTAAAGTCACAGTTGAACCTGTATCCGACCCAGTCTCTGATGTCTGCATCGTGATCTCTGAATAAAATTAAGATGCAAAATTGAAAGGTTAGTGCATTAATTTATTTATTTTGTCACTTATACCAGCACACTAATTTGTTGCTTATCTCTATGCGTACCTTAAAATTAGCTAATACCAATCTTGGCATGAGCCAAAAGGCTTCTCCCCCTACTAGCATATGAGTTAGTATAAAAGGGATTTTATCTTACTTTTATCTTACTTATATTCAAAATACCTTTTATTTGCATGTGCAGAAACACGTATCACTTCTCTGAGTTTTGTCACTTTAGGACTAACTTAGAAAAATCAGCTGCAAATCTTCTCTCAGCTTGTAAATAACTGGTCATCATTCAAAACTATTTTTTCTCTGGCTTATTGAATTACACTAAAAACTCTATACACTTAAATTCAAAGTCAAGCTTCTAGCAGGCCACAGAATGAGGGGCTGTAATCTGGAGAGCAAACTCTGAAAAGCATTTAATGAGTCACACTGGAAAAGCAGCTTAAGTAACCTTCTTCAGTAGAAAGCATTAAAGCAAACACTGTAGTTAAAATCTGAGAAGAAACTTTTCAACACTAAAACCATATGGAAATACCTACGCAGTAGAAAAGTGCCTAAGATCGTGGCCCTGACATTTAAAGGGAACAATAGAAAGTTGGATGGAATACAGAAGTAGTCCGAGAATCAAGGAAAACGCCTTACAAAGAAAACTTATCAGAAACACAACCAAGGAATGCCTTCATAGGAAATATAGACTGGGAACTATGGGATTCCTCAGTTTTGCACAGCAGAAATGACAATATAACTGACTGGGTGACAAACCAAAATTAATTGAAAATCAGGAATTAAACCTCGTTTTTTAGGCAGTGGATGATTAACCAGTGAAAGTAATAACCAGATGAGGCAGGTTCTTCTTCACTTGGTACCTTCAAAACAGAAGACTGCATGCTTCTGTGAAGAATTACAGTAAACAAATACAAATTACTAGTCTGTAGACCAAATGTTCCATGATCTAAAAATTTTACTGCCCTTAATCTCTATTAATCTATATTAGCTACAGAATACTTTGGCAACCTGAGGATCAATGTCACTAAAAATGAGTAGCACTATCATAGAATCATAGAATGATTTAAGTTGAAAAAGACCTTTAAGATCATCAAGTCCAACCGTTGAGCCAGCACTGCCAAGTCCACACTAAACCATGTCCCTAAGCACCACGTCTACACCTCTTTTAAATACTTCCAGGGATGGGGACTCAATCACTTCCCTGGGCAGGCTGTTCCAGTGCCTGACCACCCTTTCAGTAAAGAAATTTTTCCTAATATCCAACCTAAACCT